GAATCCTTATTAAACTAATATTAAACTATGTAAAGTACCCTCCTGTTATAGTACCCTCCCCCGTAATTAGTACCCGGGAGGGTACTATTCAAGAAATTTAATGGTTGATTGAATAGTACCCGGGGTACTGTAGTCAGTGCCGTACGGTATTTTTTAGATGCCGTTCATTGGACCGGGTACTGAGCATCGCGCTCTACGATAAAATTTTTTAATTAACTTCGGGTAAATTTATAACCGTATTAAATTAATGGAAAATTTTTTTTGAAGATGACGCTTTTACATTATTTTAGCAAGATTTACAAGCTAATGCTAGTGTAAATGTGATAATTGACCCGAATACTGTAATAGGTCAATGCATAGATAGGTTAGTATGGCAGAAGAATGCCGAGATCATATGAGTGCTGCCGAGGGAAAAGGGCACCTCCGTTTCTTAATCAATTATTGATTCAATAACTGATTAAAAAACGGAGGTGCCCTTCCCTTGGCAGCGCTCATATGATGCATGATAGAATAAAATTAGTCTATTCGAATTAGTAAACGAAATAACTTAAAATTATCTCGACATGACCAACCTACTTTGAATGGGCCAACCCAGTAGCAGGGCTGGCAATGGAGTTTAATGAAGCCCAATGGAGCCGCAAATGAAACCAATGGAACTCTGAATGGAGCCAATGAATATAAGTTTTTTGAGCTCCATTCGCACAACCATTGAACTTCATACTAATCAGATGCTCTACACTAATCAATCGAATACGTGCAATATTTTTAAAGTAATAAAACCTTACGTTAGGTTATTATAGAGGTTACAATAGAGCATTTCCTATGTTAAAATGTTGCAAGAAATTTTTTTTGCTAGCGCGCAGAAGGTGGTTTTCATAGACAATATTTTGAGTTATTGGTAGTTTTTTAAAAATCGTGATTTTCACGTTATACCTGATCTAAATAAATTTTTATTAACGTACGTACGTACAAGGTTTTTTAGTAGTGCAGTAGTGAAAGATCTAAGTTTAATATTTGGATTTTGTAAATTTAAAGGTTTGTTTTATTTTTTTATAAGTTCGAGTTAATTAATAATAAATGTCGATGCTGAAATTTGGAGACTTAATTTGAAAATATAAACTCTTTCATTATAAACACTAACCTTAACGTTAAATTCTAATTAACTATAAAAAAAAAAAACTGAACAAAACATCCAAAAAATTTTTAAACTTTCATAATAAAATAAGTCAAAATTTTAGCATCATCCGATTTCAACATCATCCCCAACAATAAATATCACGTTGACTCACTTTATGCGTATCTATCTATTCACTAATTATATATTATAAAATATTTTGTATATATTTATTAGGCTGTAAATTTTTTTAATACAAAGTTTTCTTTTTTTTCATTTGTAATTTGATTGGTTAATTATCAAACTTCTGCCTATGTAAATATACAAGTCACTCTCGTATAGTGAAGTCCCAAAAATCTAATAACAAGTGTAATATAGTCACGTATGACAAATATTCCATTAATTTTATTGGTCATTTTGAATGATAGTATCTGGTAGATCACTTATTGAACAGTTTATTATCTTGGATTTGGTTCAGTTTTTAATGAAAAATATACAATTAATGAAGGCGTTGTATTAAATATATTTGCAGGAAAAAAACCATTCTGCGATCTTAATGTCCAGGTGTCCCGGGTCTTAATCTGGAGCTATTCCAAGTAGTGCTTGGATCCAAATAAGCTCTTTGAAAATTAACAGATAACGGAAGAATGTTTATAATAATACAAATAGTGTTTCTATCCATTATCCGTTTATCCATTTATCCATCGGATATCCAAATCTGAATTTATTCGGATATCCGTTTTACTATTAATATCCGGATAATTATCTGATAACCCGTCGGATTATCCGGATATCCGAACGATTTGGATTATCCGGATAATCGGATACGGATAAACGGATGATGGATTTATCCGGATTGGAACTCTAGTAACGTAATTTACAATGACTTAATCGGAACGGTCGAAAAACAATTCGGTCAATTTTTATCAGGTGTTCCAGGAATTACAGTATAAAAAAAAAATTTGCTTTCCGCAGACCTTACTCGTCTTTTATGTTGGTTGACTATCTACATTTATGCCGTGCCTCAAAACCTTACCATCTTACATTTTGGATCGGACCGGGTAAACCGGGTATTACCTGAGGTATTACCTGAACGGATCTTTGTAATCAAAATCATAGATCCGGTGATTTCTTAGGTAAAATTTCGAGATTAATGTGATTTTTCGTTGTTTTGTTAATTGTCACGTTACACCAGATCTTGTCCCGTGATTGATGCTGATTGGCTAGAATGGAAAGTGTGGAAGAAATCAATCATTGTTATCATGTGATCATGTGATTTATGTGATTTTATGCGATTTATGCAAATTTCACCCAATGAAAATTTCTAATCAAAAATTTTTTTTGAATCAGTAAGCATTTAAAGATTTCTAGTTTCAAATTTACACTTAATTTTTTTTTTGTATACAGAAAATGGAACAACTGGAAGATTTAACTTGGTAAGATTACTTTATGATCTTTTGTAATGGTTGTAATAGAACAATCATGTATCTATATATATAATTAGGCTTCTTGTCAGAAACAATAATTCGTTTTTGGTAAAACGTAATGGCGCACAGTTTACCTCCGAACCTAATAATTTGACAAACTTGAATTCTTTCAAATATTCGGGACTTGCTTGTAATAAGGTATGCATAATGTATCTGAATGTTTTGATAATCAATGAAATATTCAAATAACTTACTTATAATGAACAATTAAAAAGACAATTGATATAAGTCCTGCACCTGATAATAGAGGTGTGATTGTTTCCACAAAAAAGACAAAAACTGAATGTTATAAGCCGGCAGAATCTATTCACAAAGTCACCCTTTCAAAGGGTACTCGTAGGTCAGCCAAAAGTTTCACCAACGCTTTTACTCGTTGTGGATATCGCCCTGATTTGCGCAAGGTTTGGTAGAATTTTTTTTTTGTTTTAAACCAATGCTTAATCATCCACATTGTTATAATCGTCAGAGAAATGTAAAATTATAGAATGCTTGCAATATTGCTAGAGCCCATTAGAAATTATTATTATGAAAAATGGGTGTAAATTTCAAATTGCTATAATGAATGTCCTGTGGATGATTATCATATTTCGTCATTTGAAGTGGTTTTATTGATTTTCATGTCCTGGATACATATTTAATTCTCAATTTCATTACATATTTATAGGAGGCACTGGCTCGTATTTCGGCTATATATCAATCCCAGAAACCTATTAAGGTCCATGCAAGGAAAACTAGCCGTCGTCATGTTAAAAAACAAAAATAAAAAAAGACAACTGTCGCAGCTATTGAGCTGACTATTTTTTATTAAAACGTTAAATAATATTGACCACGCTTTTTTTAGTTACTATCATTAAGAATCAAATTAAGTGATCAATTGAATAATTTAATTTTGTGGCGAATTATGATTCATGCATAGCACTTACCTTATATCATCTAAATATAAAGTTGAAGCTTAGGACTTCTAATTATTCTTAAAATAAAATCAATCTGACTATGGTGTTAATCAAGTAAATAAATGCGAGAAGCTATGTCACCGACAATCCAATCCATTCCACGGAGTAAATTTTCACCGGTGACTGCACTACAACTCTGGATTGCCCAGTGATGAGTCACAATTGAATTAAGGTCAAGTCCCTAAATGAATGAGTTTTGCCAACCAAATTTATAAATTATATATATTTTAGATAAAACTAGATCATATAGAATACCTGACGAATCTGTAGGTCGGTCAGTGCTCCAGGGAGATCTTGCTTATTAGCAAAAACTAATAACGAAGCACCTGCCAAACGCTAAGTTTGAAATGCAATTAACACCCTTGTTTCATTATATCGACAATAAAGGCGGAGATTTTACCTCTTCTAGTAATAATGCTTGTAGTTCCTTCTTACAATCTTCTAGACGCATTCTATCAGCACTATCTACAACCCATATTACGCCGTCAGTTTGTTCAAAATAATTACGCCAATAGGATCTTATAGACTTTTGACCACCAACATCAAAAAAGTGTAATTTAAACCTTTGTATTAATGGATACATTAATTAATCACGTAGATTTTCAGCCAAGGTTGTGCGCAAGTAAGATATAATACCCATTGTGTTCCAAAGTTTTGATGTTAAAACCTAAGGTTGGTGAAATCGTATCAATGTTTTCGCCGTTTAAACGCTTTAAAATAGTTGTTTTTCCTGCGTTGTCTAGTCCACTATAAGAGGCGTTTGAATATGATAAAAGAACTCAAAATTATATAAAAGATAGAACGTATAAATTACTTACAGCACAAGTAACCTTATTTCCTTTTCTTTTTGTCGAATTTTTCGTAAAATGGATAAAAGTCCCATAATTGCCTAATGCTAGTCAGTTTCGCGCCAAATTATGTTTTAATTGTTGAATGAAACGTAACGTCATACATAGAGTATTCATATTGTATATATGGGCTATTTTATGTGACAAAATCGTGACATAGTAAAAAAAAACTATTGTTTGTTAAACAAGCAAGCTTATCTAAAAATGGTTTTTTTTTTACTATGTCACAATTTTGTCACATAAAATTGACCTATATGAACACGCATAATTAGTGTTTGTAGCCCAAACCCGCTATAGGCTATTTCATAAAGGATTGTAATTTTTTAAATACTATATACAGTATTATCTAGATATACTACTACAAATCTCTATGTAATTCTATTATAAACTTGATTCATTAATCATTGAAAAATAGCAGGACCATAGAACATGACGTTAAACTTAAGATTTCATAGCAGATAACAAATGCAATCTTTTTCTAGTCTCTTATATGCATAGCTACTTGTCAATATTTATTAGCAAAATTTAATATAAAAAACTAATACGTAGGATCTAGCAAGGATGTTTACCTAAGCCGCTATTTCAGGTCCATTTCAATAACGATAACAATTTCAGCTGCCTTTTTAAAATAGATAAATGCCTTATACTCATCCACTTCAGCTCCAATACCATAAAGATAGCAATATCCAAGGTTATTTGTTCCACGTTAATATCTTATTAAGAATGTATGTACTGTACAAAATTATGACGTTAAATTAGATTCTAAAATTGGATTTTAAACTAGATTCTAAACTACATAATCAATCAACTAAAGCGGCCGGGTCAAATTTCGCAAAATTCTTACAGCTGTTTTCATAATTCCTGGGACACCTGAAAAAATTAGCCGAATGATTTTCGGTCGATCCGGTTAATTTATTATTTCGGCATTATTATCGTTATTATAGATTCAATAAAAATTGGTACGTACGTACGTACCAGTTTTTATTGAATCTATAATGCCGAAATAATAAATTAACCGGATCGGCCGAAAATCATTTTTACAGGTGTATGAAAACAGCTGTAAAAAAATTTTTGACTATATTTACTATCCGGGTGAAGTTTTTTTAGAAGTTTATAAAAATTTTTATGCGCTTTTTTATATATAAATTTCAAATTTTATGTTATGAGAAAAAAAAATAATTAACTTTGTATGGCCTAATGTATCAACTAATGTATATTTAACAATCAGTACCATTTGCACTCTAACGCCAAATTGATATATTCTAACCAAACCAGATTTAACTGCTTAATTATAGAATCTGGTTTCTATCGCTATAAAGATTTTTAAATCGAATCCAAGGACCTTAGAGCAAACCAACATGTGTATATATATAGTTGCAATAAATAACAAATCGAGCGTTATTTTTGTTCGATCTTTAGGAAATTAAACACAAGATTATTTTCCGGTTCTCTAATACGTATCCACGTGCTATTGTTATTTTGTGCGGGTCACAATTGGCTCTAATAACGACAAATTAATGCGTACGTACGTACCAGTACATATCGATATCGTTAATCCATGTTTAAGCTAATAAACGATCGACGCAACTTACTTTTGGATACAATGTCCACGAGGGCAATTGCGCAACTCTAACACTAACGCTAAGCACACCAAGAATACCAAGTGTATATTGTCTTATAAAATTACACAAGTATACTGCGTCGAAACTAACTTGGACAATAAGTATATAAACTGCCTTTTTTCCAAACATTTGAGTAGAAAACTCCGTGATACATTTCCTTTTTTTGACTATATATTTTTCTTTGTTACAACTTTGTTATAACTTGAACGGACTAGAAAACACCGATAGTAAAATCATAAAGTATTCTGTTGAATTTGTATTAACCACTGACTCTATCTATCTATACGAGTCGGTTCTATGATAAGTTATAAGTAGTAAAGTGAAATAAATAGATATATTAATTTTGGTAGCTCTTTAATTAGTGCTTTTTTAAAAAAATTTGGCCCTTCTAAATACGTGATTTAACACGCTTCATAAGAAACTGCAAAATGATGAAAATTTTCGAAAAACCTACAATAATTACAGAGTATTTAGGTATAAGTCATTTTATTCTATAATTTTATTTAGGATGTTATCATTTAACAATGTTATATTTAAATAGATCAATGCGTTGTTAAAGAAGAGGACGATTGGGATTTAATAATGGTTGCGTGTAATGCCGTAAATGCGACGGATGCTGGTGCTAAAGAGGCTACAAAATTCATCCGGAAAAAAATAGTCAGAATACAATTGATAAATACGCAACACAGAATTCTAACTGTACGTTATCGTTTGAATAGTGATTTACGTAATCGATTAATCTTGGCTATTGTTGATTAGTCTTTCGATCACATTAGGTATTGCAAGCTATGGCTGAAAATTGTGGCGCAAAGTTTCATGGTAAGCATCCCATATTAGCATCAATTTAAATTCCCAGATTTTTTAAAAGTTTTGTTTTTTCATTACGTAAAAGCCGAAATCGCATCCAAAAAATTTCTTGAAGCACTAGAACTTGTAGTAGTGACACCGAATGTTGATCCTGACGTTAAACATAGGCTTGTTGAATTATTAAGAAATTGGACCCAAGCGTTCCAAAACGAGCCTAGTTTATGGCAAATTGCTAGTCTTTATAATAAGTTAGAGAAAATGAGAGTAATACCAGTGGGTAAATACCAAAATAATCCTATTGCAAACCCTAGAGGAGTGGTATATGTTCCCTTTTCTTTTGTGAGAATAATGTGTTACTTCATTCCTTACTAATCATTAATTTACTCTACGTTACAGCGTCACGCTCCCTCGGTATATATTTTATGTCAAATTTAATCCCTATTTTACTAAAAAAGATCCCTGTTAATGGTTTAAATGTGTACTTATTATTTCAGAATACATCATTGGAAAGAGTCGCTGAGGATATTGAACTTGCAAAAAATAATGTGCAATTGTTCACACAAACTATTTCGTTTACTGATCCAGAAGCTGAAGACATCACTAAAAATGAATTGATCCAGGTAGTCTTTAAAACATATTTAAATTTATTTTTTATATAATCTGTTTCAATCTAAATATTAATTTGTTTAAAGGAGTTTCATGCAAAATGTCGGTCCTTACTTCAAAATATTAACCGTTACATAAATGAAGTACAAGATGAACATTGGTTGGGTAAGTTAAGTTTATTATGCTTGTGATTATATATTTTTAATACTTATTAACTTTAGTATTTGTTAGATACACTTATTTCGGTAAATCAGGATCTTGTAAAAGCGTTCCAATTATATGAAGATATGGTCGAACGAGGGCAAATCCGAGCTGCCGAAAAAATCTCAGTGGTATTTTAATAACAATTTATGATATAAAGCGTTTGTATTAATTGATTTGGCTACAGATTAAATTATACTATTATGTGGTTTCTTTATCAAGCAATCTTCAAGAAATAACTATTATGATAATTATTTTGATGCAGATGATGCCGGAGTTGGTGGCAGGTGATTAAAAGCTTGAATATATGTTTAAAATTGTTTGTTATCGATGCATGTTAAATATTTGTTTCTTTTAGTAAATCAATTGCGATTGATCCGTTTTCGGATTTTAACGAAGTGGAACAAATTCCTGAGACTTCTAGCTCAAGTGAAAGGCGTCGGGGGTATATTGATAATTACATTTATTATTGTATGACATATTCATTTTTTTTAATAATACTTATTTTTGGTTTGACTTTAGTAAAGTACCAGTATCCATATTTAACGATGATGACCTGTTCACAGACGATCCAAATCAACAATATTCTAGTTTAGTGGCTCCTTTACAGCCTACTAAATATCATCCACCTAGCGTTACTGATAATGCACGACAGGACCATATGAGCATTTGAAACTTTAGTTACGCTGATAATTATTAATTTTAGATTTTTTAAATTAACTTTTATCCTTTTTCTTGTGTTAGATATTGTACTTTTAGCATTTGTTTGATTATAAATTTTGAATCATTATATTTTTTTTTTAGTCACAGATAATAATTTTTTTTTTCTTAAAAAAACAAAAACATTTATCATTGATGCATACCCAATAACTTGCAAATATTTTTTAATGCTTCAAATTTAATATATCTCTTATGCATTAGAGTTAATCCAAATAATAAATGTTTGAAATTATCGAATTAATTAATATAAAATCATTGTTTATTATGTTATGTATCTTGTACATAATGGCCCCAACCAAAATATCTTTTATTTTCATATATCTTATTTAGAATTAGTTTATCTTTAAAATAAACCTGTTAAATTTTTTATATTTTACTTTTAAACAAATCTAGGCTATAGTAAATACAGTCAGACCTCCCTAAATGCATGTCATCGGGACCAGCTTTAGAGCGTGCATTTAGGGAGGGTTGCAATTAAAGAACACTAATAAAATCACTATGTGACTATTATCACGTGATAAATGTGTCTTTAATTGCCTAGAATAATGGATTTGATTGGTTGATAATCACGTGGATGCATTTATGGAGGGAGTTTTTATAAAAGTGGGCCAGACAATTAGCATGCACTTACAGAATAAAGAACATGCATTTATCTATAAGTCCCACCATGGGCCTGGGCTTATATCATGCATTTAGGAGGGTGCTGCATTTAGAGAAGGTGCATTTAGGGAGATCTGACTGTATATAAATTCTATATAAATAACATCTATATTTGATACAAATGAAAAAAAGATCTTTTGAGTTCTAATAAAGATAATAGTCTCTTTAAAAATGATTATACCAGAGATTTATGCATCATTGCCGTATGTTATATCAATCATTGTACACATTCTTCTCACCTTGTATGTCTATTCTTATTTTATTTTATTTTTTTTATCTCTTTGAAGAGGACGCCCTATAGCATGTTTGTTTATTTCTATTATCTTAGAAAATTTTATATTTTAGTATTAGATTTTTCTTATATAGTTTTTCATGCATGACCTATAAAAACTAGTAAAGCAATTAAATAACTTTATTACCTGTGTTGATATTAATTAACCTCATTTAACTCTAAAATACTATCATGACAAAACTATTAAAACTTAAAACGCTGCAAAGAGAAAAAATAAATACTGCCTTCTCTGCTAGGCAAAACCTTATTAGTCTTAGCTCAAGTAAAGAATACGAAAGCACTAATTCTGACAAGAGTGATAATTTAGATGATGAGTTTGTGGAGGATAATAATGAACTAGATAACAGTGAAGAAGTGAATTCAATAATAAACCACCTTCTCGCAGCTTCAGCAGCAAATTTTGAAAGTAAGAAATGCACTATTTATATCGGACTTTCTGCACGAACACGCCAAAGAAAAAGTAAAGCGTTAAAGGATGCAGCAATAGGAAGCTCAAAATTTATATCCTTCTTTTCCACTACCAACAGTCAATGATTAGCCGCTGATGATAAGGGTACTGAAGACTTTCATAGTGTATCAGATGGGGGTGAGTCAGTAGAAAAGTTTTCTTAATTTTAAACTTAAATATCTCAATAACTATATAATCAAATTTGATAAAATTTTTTTTAAAAAAAATTTATTAAATTTGATTAGATAATTATTAAGATTTCAATTTAAAAATTAAAAAAAGTTTACTCCCAGATCGGGAAAATGATGATGAAAATAAATTAAAAAAAATATTGCAATAAGCATCACAATTGAATTTGTAAATAAAGTAATGCGTGAAGAGGCTCTCTCAAAAACAGAACAGGCTCATTATACAGCAGTTCTCTATTTTTTTCGGTTGCTTCTAAAAGGTAAGCAAAAAATAGATGCATTAAAAACAGTTGCAAAGGTGGTTAATCATGGACTATGGCTTGCAAAATGCATCAGAAAGTGGGCAAATATTTGCATGAAAGAGAAATTGATAAAACCAAGTTTTAAAGGAAAATTTCCTTCAAAAAATCTTCTTCATGATAAACTGGTTTCTCTTCAGTTAAGTGCTTATCTGCGATCTCAGAAGTTTGAAGTAACTTCTGAGATGGTTAAAAATTATTTAAAAAAGAAAATTCTTTTCAAATTAAATATTAGATCTGTACAAAGTTTTTTTTTTTTTTTTTTAACCTTCTATCTGCATATTTTGCCAGGTATTTCAATTCGAACCGTTCGTCGCTGGATGCATAAACTTGGCTTTTGCTATCAACGCTATTAGAAATACACCTATGTAGATGGGCATGAACGTCCAGATGTTGTTGCCTATTATCACCTCTTTCTTGAAGAAGTCGCTCAACT